ACTTCAAGCATACATTGTGTATGGAGATAAGTGCTAAAGAAATGTACTATTATTATTATTATCATTATTAAAGTATTGTTTCTAAATAGAAGGGAAGAAAGCCATTTCTGTAATTCTAAGAAATCTGTACTAAAAGCAGAATGAATTGGACTATATCATAAGCATGTGTTTATGAATCATTATGAAATAGTGATGATATCAGTTTGCAGAAAGTGGGCATATCATCTGCCACCTGTTGCACCATCACAAACACATGCCAAAGCAAGTCAATTTTAGTCTATAAGGAACATATGGTACACATCAAAATAGGGAATTGCACTCAGTGTCACAGATTTGAAGAATCCTGAAATCTACACAAGTCCAAAACATTTTGTAAAAGCTTTAGAAAATATAAGAATTTAGAAATGGTATGCACCAAAATCTTAGGAGATAATGTATAATATTAAAGATATGTATATGGTATTGATTAGAATATTTTCATTAAAAAAAATAATATATTTTCAATATTAAGTTATTTTCATATTTTGAAAAGCTAACCCTCAGTTTTGCAAAAGTAAACCAGATGTGTATGTACAATACATAATTATGCTTATTATACAACCTATTTGTTGCATTACATGATTTTAAGTGAACTACGTGAGGTAAAATTTTGTATTATGCTGTGCACATATATTTTATCCTTAATCTTTACAATTTCACAATTTGTCTTTTAAGTACACTGAATATTTGCAGAAATAGTTTTCAAGGCAGGGAGGTAATCCCACGCTGCATCCTATCTATATCATGTTATTCCTACTATACAGAATGAAAATATTTATGTTTTTGGGGAAATAGTTAACACATATTTCTAGCAGGATTTTTGAGAACTATGTACAAAGGTTCATATATGTGCATATATTTTACTTACTTCTAATGTTGACCATGTTTTCAAATGTGGTACATTGTATTTGTTGCAGTCATGTAGAATAGTTCACATACTAGATTTCCTCACATTAATCCCTCTTTTAAAATGTATTAAAAACTTGTGTATATATCTTTGAATTATTTTATGAAATTTAATATGTGATATGTTTTCCCTTTTAATTAAATTTTGATATAGAAATGGCATAGTTTTGTGACACTTTTTTAGATTTTATGAACTATTTAGTTCAGCAACAATTTCACAGATTGGTACATTTTGTGGATTTGGGAATTATTGTTACAAGTTTCAGATTATTCTTTGCACCTTAAAAATCAATAATTGATTGTTTTGTTTGTGCAATCTTTTTGATTGGATATTGTTTCAACACATTTTCTGCTGATAGCTTTGTAGTTAAGCCTATCCATTCATTAAATACTCTCTATCAAATCTTTGCATTGGATACTTGCCTTTCAAAAATGTTGATGAAGAAAGGTCAAGCTGACCTGGGTTTTTTTTAGTGAGTGTACAGGAGTATTTTTGTATCACAAAATAATATGGACATTCTTTTTTTCGTGTATCTGGGAGCTGTTCAGTTGTACACCTATTATAGCCTTGACAATGCACTAACCAGGTCTTCAGTAACATGTGGCCATGGACATGACTCATGTTCATTATATACTACTCAATTTTTTATAAGGATGGATTTTTTTAAATCTTATTATTTATATATTATATTTAATTATTACTCACCCGTGGCAGATACTGCAGTGTAATATTTTTACGGCAATATTACACAAGTGTAATACCGCTGGACGTATGACATCATAATGATTTTGCTTGTTTGATACCAAATCATTAACTCGTTTAATAAATATGGTATTACACAGAAGGTTGTTTAGTATCCTCTATGTAGAGTGACATGTTTAATGATCCTTATGAAAGGTTGAGTAGCATATTTGAAGTTAATAGCAAGACTTAGTACTTAGCCACCTGAGTCTTGTTTTTGTAGATAGTAGTTTGATATGTGTGAAGTATTAACCAACCACAACGTTTTTAGCTCATGGGTTGGTGCAGTTGATATACATGTCCAGTAAACAACGATTATGATGAAGTCAAGAAGACTTCTAATTTATAAATTATTTTCTTATAACCAAGTTCATTGTACACATTTCAACTATAATGTCACTGGGACAATAAAACAAAACAAAAACCAGGGGCGTAGCTACCATAATAAAAAAAAGCCCAGGCTTACCCATGATTGTTGCAAGCCCTCAATACTATCTAAATATGAAGCTTAGTAACTATCAAGCTTACAAGAAAAGAATTGTTTGCAACACTCCTGAAAACAGTTAATTAAACCCATCAGTTCGTTATAAGGTTTTGGTTAAAAACGTAGTTTACTGTATGTAACACTTGTGTTGTTGGTTGTTGTGTTCTATTTACAAATACTATTGGGTTGTTTCTGTGATTGTTGGTGGCAGCTGATTGAAGCATTCGTAAATACTAAGACCTTGGGTCGCGGTCCACTAAGCGTTCGTAACATTACATGTTGCACCCAGTGTATGAAATGAGCCAGAGACCCAGCCACACATCAGGGCTGGTAACTGCAAAATAATACCAGCAAAAAATGGATTTAACCAGACATCAAGATTTGGTGAATTTACTCAGATGTATGGGACGTCTAACATTTTTACCAGACCATCAGGCTGGCTTGCTGTAAATTTTGACGGTCCGTCAGAAAATCTAGCCCATCTCGGGCGATCAGATGGGCCTTATTTCATACACTGTGGAAACTCTATTCGTTTGGCAAAGGCTTATGAATGTTGCAGCACTACGAACTTTTGTGGACCCTGATAAATTACAAGTGTTCTGGTGATACTTCCAAAGATGGGACAGTAGAATCCATTAGTGTCGCTACCCGCTTGACACCTTCATTACTCTTCCAGCTGTATTAAGCTCTCCTCTGTGAGCAAACACTGACATTCTGCCCGCTTCAAAAACTGGGTCCTGATCCGCAAAGCGCTCATGGCATTAAAACAGTCGTAACTATATAGTATATTATAGAATTTCGTATGATGTGGTCCTACGAACGCTTTGTGGATGGGGATCCTGCATCCCAGATTCCAGAACAGAGCATTAGCATCATTCAGGACAACCAACTGTCGCACATTGTGGACTTTACTGGGAGCACTGACTCTACTAGGGCCTGATATTTATGGCTGGTGGCACATACAGTCCAACATCATTGGGTAAAACTTTCATGTAAGTCCGAACTTAACAAAATCAGAGAAAAAGCTTGGTCCCTGCATCTGCCTTATGAAGGCATCATTTTGCGGTTGTGGAAAACCTATGTCATTCCCTTCAATTTCGATACAATGATGTCTGACTATATTTTGTGTATTGTATAGCTGTTTATGATTGTAAACTTTATAATGTGTGTTTCAATAAAATGGGTTAATTCTACATTTTTGTCTTTTGTGGTTATTATGAGTATCAGTTGAATAGTTTAAATTAGTTTAGATTTATGCTGCTTTTAGCAATATTCCAGCAGTATCATGGTCAGGGACACCAGAAATGGGATTCACACAGTCTACCCATGTGGGGAATAGAACCCAGGTCTTGAGCATGATGAGCGAATGTTTTAACCACTAGGCCACCCCACCACCCTGTGCAGACCAGAAACCAACCATCAATTACATTTCTTAAATATCAAAACCATATTCATGCCTGTGGTCTTTACCAACCTGCATCCCCTCCCGCACCAAGCTGATGTGGTGATATAACTACAATATTGTTCAAAGCAGCGTTAAAAACAACTCGCTCTACATTTTATGGAATGCTCAAACGTTGCAAGGTTTAATACATTCAGCTTTAGAGGGTACTGTGGTGTGTTTGACATCCATTTTCCAAAGCATATTTTTCTTATTCTTTATGTATGGACGCAGGTGTATCTCAAAGGTAAAGTTGCATGATGTGACAGACAGAAATATATTTCCACTGAAATACCTAATGTTAAAATATATACATATGGAAAAAGGTATCGCAACAGTCAAGTTTTATGACAGGCCCTATTTTCAATCACAGTTTGCATGTCATGTGCGTCTTCACAGGAAATTAGTTTGTAGCCAAAGTGCTAAAAGGACTTTCATTAACACAAAAACCAACAATGAAAAATCTGGTATAATTTGACTAAACATGGGTCCTGTAATAAAACTGAAATTAAGATATCATAATGTGTCAGTCAAAGTATGGTCACACCAAATGGGTAACACGATGCATAGACATAATTCAATAATCCAATCCACAAATAAGGTCTCTAGTTTCAGAAAGAGAAGACCCAGTCAGTATCTTGTGTAACCCCCGCCCACCTGGATGACGTTTTGAACATTGAGTGCACAAGACGCTGAATCCGATGTTGGGGAAACCAGTTATATTCTTGGTGTAATGTTTGGTCTAATAATCTGGACTGGTGGATCTCTCTGACGAACTTTACACCTCAGAATGTCCCAAACATGTTGGATGGGGTTCAAATCAGGGCTTCTGGCTGGCCATGGAAGGGTTTTAATTTAGCTTCTTGATGCAGGAAATCAATGACTGCGGGTGCACGATGTGGCCTGGCGTTGTCATCCACAAAGATTGGCCTTGTTAATAGGGGATGATTATCAAACTGAGGCACTACAAGCCTCCTCAAGATTTCCTCTTGGTATCTTTGTCCATTCACATTTCCTCTCACTGTGACAAGCTGAAGTTTGCAGTCATCGACACACAGCCCCATACCATCAAGAATCCTGCTCGCGAATGGAATTTCTTCCAGGATGTTCCTTTCAGGACGCCCCACGCTCCTCTATCGCCATACAAGCGCCCTTCCATCATTAACAAACAGCAAAAAACGACTCTCGCCTGAAAAATGGATTTTCCTCCAAGAAGCTAGATTACACTGATGCCGGTCACTGATGCATCACCGTAATCTTGCAGATATAAAATATAAGTTATCCAGCACCAGGTTCGTTAATCACTCTATGCCCATCAGTTCTATCAGATATAAAATATATGATATAAGTTATCCAGTACCGGTTTGTTATTTACTCTTTGCCCATCAGTTCTATCAGATATAAAATATGAGATATAAGGTATCCAGCACGGGTTTGTTATTCACTCTTTGCCCATCAGTTCTATCAGATATTAAATAATAGTTATCCAGCACCGGGTTTGTTATTCACTCTATGCCCATCAGTTCTATCAGATATTAAATATAAGATATAAGTTATCCAGCACGGGTATGTTACTCTATGCCCATCAGTTCTATCCAATATACAATAATAGTTAACCAGCACCAGGTTTGTTATTCACTCTTTGCCCATCAGTTCTATCAGATATAAAATATAAGATATAAGTCATCCAGCACTGGGTTTGTTACTCTATGCCCATCAGTTCTATCTGATATAAAATAATAGTTACCCAGCACGGGTTTGTTATTCACTCTATGCCCATCAGTTCTATCAGATATATAAAATATAAGATATAAGGTATCCAGCACCGGTTTTTGTTATTTATGTAAATCTCATTTAGTGTCTTTCTGATATCAATTATATCAACACGAGTTGATAAATTTACTTTTATCAACGAGTGTTGATATATTTGATATCAGAAGACACGAGGGTGAGATTCTATTTATCATCCAAAATCACTCTTTATTTAAGAAATACAGTTTATAAAGTCACGGGTCCGAAAGTGCTTTAACGTTATATTAGTTGAGGGCTTAAGTGTGTTTTATTACACTATACATGCTGGTAGAGCTTAACTGTATTTCTTTTCTAAGATGCCAAATTCAATACTCTCTTAGGATAATTACGATTAATTTAAGGCAGAATACAAAACGACGGCGCCGGGTGACCTAAATTAAGAATCCTCGCGACAGGGCTGGCTGACTGGCTGTTCTATTGATGTGGCTCTCTCCCAGTTAAGACGATCGTTACCGAAAAAACCCAAATGATAACAGTTTGATGTGACGGGTTTACGCTCGGATTAAATATCATCTCTGAATTATTTTTATTACATTTATCATTAACGTAAGCCATATATGGGGGCAATATGAGCGTTGCATTTCTACTTCCAACGTAAGTTTAGATCAGTACATCCAGATGAAGCTGAGTAGTCAGCCGACATTCCACGATTGCATTGTGGGAATGTAAACACTCGCTAACGTTAAGCGTGTTGCTGAAAACTTGTGAGTCGAATTGACACATGATTATGCAGGGCTTTGGGAGTTGATCGTGATAAGTTCTGAATATCTGATAGGCTTAACAGTTGAGGTGGGAGGGAGATAGAGGAACATAGTGTAAACCCTATGTTCAGAGTCATCGCGGACAGAAACAGTTTGTAGGTTGGTGTTAAGTGGAACAGGGCTATGGAGGATGCCCTGCATCACCAGGATAGTAGTGCCTCCTGTAGCTTTTACACCGGGAGGAGAAAAAGGAGTGGTAGGAACTGTACCAACGGATGTCAAATTTATCAGTCCTTTTAGGTAGGTTTCTTGGAGACAAAACGCGGATGGTTTGAAGTCTTGAATCAATAACTGTAATTCATTATAATTATTCTTAAGTCCTCTGCAATTCCATTAGATCATGTTTTGTGGATTCATGGTGCTTCCACTGGTGACATGTCACGTGAACGTGAGAAAGGCGTTTGATGAACTCCTATTGGTGTCTGGTGGAGATGGAGTTACCTCCATATCCAGAGGGCCAAAGGAGTTATGGACCTCGATGGGGACCTCTGAGGGAGAGGTGGCCTTTGGTTTTGTGTTTGGCGGTTGTTCAGAAGCTGCTTTAGTCTCTAGCCTCTTTTTTCCCTTTTCTGCCGCAGTTTCTGTTTCTGGTTTTGGCATTTGTTCTGGTGTTTGTGATTCAGAGGTTTTGACTTTTGGCGTTGGAGAGTGGCTGAGATGGGCTCAGTTGTGTTGAGTTCAGTTGGCTGAGAAGACATGATCCATGTCAGGTCGGTCTGACATGAGATGGTTGCAGTAGTGATAGTAGGTGATGGTTGAAGGACTGTAGTTAAACTTGCAACCCTCTTCTTTGCTTCATGAAATGAGATATTTTCTTTGTGCTTGATCTTTAGGATCTCGGATTCGCGTTTCCCACACTGGGCAAAACTTGGAAGATGCCATATGGTTACCACCGCAGTTTGTGCACTTCACTTCCTTAGTACAGTCGTTGCCCTTATGCTTGTCACCACAGCGCATAACAAACAGCAGAGGAACAACAGGACTTGGATCCATGTCCCAACTTTTGGCAGTTGTAGCACCGAGTGGATTGGGGACATACACCTCCACACCAATGCTACAATAACCAGCTCTAATCGAAGTCAGGAATGTTTGTCGCCGAATGTGAAGAGATAGGTGTTCGTTGGTTGAACAACACCGTCCTTTTTGAAGGTGAATCGTTTTATGGCTGTGACGGATTGCTGAGAGAGTTCCTTGACAATTTGTTCTTCAGTCATGTCAGACAGGCATCGAGCTCTGTCCCGCATAAATGCCCTCTACACGAAGTTAAGTGTTTTGTGTGCTGAGACAGCGACCTTGATATTGACAAATTCTTGTATTTTGAGGAGATTCAAGGATTGGTGTTTCGGTACATTCTATCAGGGAGAGAGCCAGATCGAGCTTTGTAACATTGGCAACCTCTCCGCCAGATACCAGCGATACCTTTGGAGATTGCAAAAGGATTCAATTGCAAAGGTTGCTTGTCACAAGCCTCAATGATCAGGAAGCGTGGCCAGTAGTCAGGTCGGAGGGGCTGCACTCGCCAGACGAGGAGTTGTCAGTATCCATGTGTCTTCATTTTGAACCGGGTATTGGGAAGCCATGTCGTGAGTAATGTGGTTCAGCATCCCTCTCCCCACCCACTTTGGAGTGTCAACAAAGAGCGATCTTATATTGCAGCGGATCTCCAAGCTGCAAAGACCAGGGATAAGGGGTGTTATACTCCAGCGAATTTGACATGAAATGCTGTAGCTGCCTAACAGATTAAAGGTCAGGATGGTTTTGTCCATGACAATCAATTGGAGACGACAGAAATCGGAGGTCAGCATCACCAGATTGGCCCATGAGCCACCGCCTTCTGTGCATGGGTTCAAGGGCTAATTTGTTTTCTTAGAATATTAGTTAACATTTTGAACATGGCCAAAAGTGTTATGTAATACCAAATTTTGTACAGACATTCCATGCACAGGGCATGGACGTGTTTCCGATTGGTAGAATCGGGCCTATTCTACCATCCGCCTAGGCAAAGTTAGGGTCGAAGTGGTGTGTTGGATTATTGAACACTATTGCCGGTTCCGTAATCCTCAACCACCAGACTCCCTTCCTCTGCCGACACAGGGATGCAACCCACGCAAACGGGTTGCCCAATTCGATCGCCTCTTACGACCAGCAATGGGGTGCTGTGGACCTATTCGACCAGGGGTCCACACGGGCTTAAGAGCCATTGGCGTTATTTCCAGCACCCACCACGCAGAGGGTTGCTCTTCAAGGGTGCCTAACGGAGATCAGCCCGCCTCGCTGGGGAGTTAGTTAGGAGTCCGCGGTCGCCGACCCTCACTCTTGACTGAGCATTCCCCATGGACCAAGCGAGTGCAGAGCTGGAGCTTACATCTCCCCTGACAATGTGGAATCTAACCATAATAAATAGGTAACGACGGCAGGGTTTAATAACACCCAAACGCCAGTTACGCCCAGTGTCCCGCGTGAAGCAACTGCAAACCAAGAAACGGATGCAACGGAGTAGTTTACTGTAGGAGGTCGTACGAGGCGATGACAACTGGCATGCATCGTGACGCCGCTTACATTGTGGACGTAATGTAAAATGGTGTCTTTCAGTGGCATTTAGAAGTTGTACATTGATGTCCAAGATATTTTTATGGATTAAACTTCTTTATAATTTCCCTCACGACGTTTGAGACCATTCCAGGTCCCTTCATCAGGTGAACTGACAGTTTGGACTATGACGTCGTCACTATGACCTCATAACTGAGTTATGACGCCCTCTTCCTCTAGTGATAACTGAGTGCACCAGAAGTGAACGAACCAGTCACCGCAGATAACTGAGTTATGGCGCCACAATGCAAGTGACATCACAGTACAAAAGGGTGAGTACAGTATAAGTGAAGTTATGGTGAACATAGAGATTTTTCTGGGTTACATCTTCTTTTTATTCTCGAGTACAACGTTTCAGGGCTTGTTCTGGCCCCATCATCAGGTAAACTGAACAGTAACTGTTAACTCTGGCCGTGACGTCACAATGCTTATGACGTCACAATGCTATGACGACGCAATACATGTGGTGGTCAATAGATACAGATGACATGGCTAATAGAATATATCAGCAGATTCATGGTCTGCCCATGGGATCTCCACTCTCACCTCTCACAGGTGTCACAGGTCGTGAATAGGGTCAGGTCGGTGCCAACTGTTAACCATCATACGGAGTTTGTTTCTCTGAGTTGTTCAACATTAACCACAAAACCCATTAGTGAGAATTATTCTGTAGGTTAAAATCTATAAATTTGTAATTTTAATGTCATATTTTGTTTATGCAGTACCTGAGTGGAAATGCATTTAAAGAACACAGAAAGTATATTTACACTAAATCATTAATCGGACCACCTATGGTTAGAACTCAACAACTGTAAAGCCCCTGTAGTTTCCTCCGACGCCAGTCGTTGTTATTGCTCGAAAGCACCCTGGTGTCATTCCACATGATTACATGACTTGGGTTATTTGCCTTGTGCTCCGATATAGCTGACTCATCATTTTGTTTGCATACTGACGACTTGTGTTCAGCAACCCGGGTGTTGATGGGCCTGAGAGTCTCGCCAATATATTGATCGCCACAGCTGCATGGTATTTGGTATACACATCCTCTAAGGTTGGGGCTTCCATTTCTAGATCCTCTTCTATTTGCCTTGACGAGTGTCTTAATTGTTGTACTCTGGAGAAAGTTACATCAAAGCTCGCTTTGCTCTTAGTCGGGCTATCTGATGGCTGACTGGTCCCACGTAGGGTATAGTGATCCTGATCGGGGATGGTTCAGGCTTGAGGCGCGGTTCTGATGAAAGAACGGTGCACTAAGTTTGTTTTTGTGGCTGGTGTATAAAGAATTTTTGGCCAGCTCTGAACTTCAATCCTCAAGCCCCGGGTGTATATTCGCAGTATTTTATCAGGATCCCGCGAACCAATCGTATTTCGTCTTTCTGATATGGAAGTTGGTTAAACGTTTTATCTATGCTATGCACGCCATGAGCCCAGTCGAGTGGTTGCCTGGTCACGATTACGTCTTAATGCCATATATGGAACAAGGGTTTCCGGGAAATCCTCAATCGGGTTCTCAGAACATTAATTACCATATCAATGCATATACAGAACAATAGCTATCACTGTTCTCAGTGCAGGGGATACAAACAAG